CATTCCTGTAAGTGTTTTCAGGTTGAAGTGGACTTCTTGTAATAATTTTCCTTTTAGTTTCGCTTGCTTCTTTTACTTTGCAGGGCTGTTGCGATTAGAAACTAACATTTTTAAATTAACTTGCTTTCCTTTTTTAAGTGGTTGAGCTTTTTAGGTTCTTTACAGAGGGAAGACAAATGTTTTTCCTATATTAAATCTGGGATCTCTTAGCAGATAGTGCTTCCTCACCACTTGTCATCCAGACACATACACCACACAGCCTGGAGCCTCTTGCTTCAGACCTCTTCAGGCAATCTTCTGTCATTAGTCTCTATCCTCACCTTCATTTGGAGACTGTGAGCAATCTCAAGGTATTAGAACATTCTTTAAATTTTAAAAACACGAAGAAATTGGCAAGATGCATATACTGCCATAAAATGTGCTGTGAGATTTTTCATTGTTTGTATCAATTTCCCTACTTGTGGCTTTGCTTACTGTCCCAGGGCTATCTAGTTTCTAGTTTAGATTCTTGGAGTGAAGAAGGAACCATTTTGAGCAGCCTGTAAATGATGAAGTGTTAGACCTTAGAGCACACAAGTTTGGCTCCAATTTAAGATTTCGTGCTAATGTTCTTAGCACATACATGCTGGTGTCCTCAGCATAAAAAGGACATGGAGCTGTTGGAGCAAGTCCAGAGGAGGGCCATGAGGATAAGAGGACTGGAGCACCTCCTGTATGAAGACAGGCTGAGAAAGTTGGGGCTGTTCAGCCTGGAAAAGAGAAGGCTGCATGGAGACCTCATAGCAGCCTTCCAATATCTGAAGGGGGCCTACAAGGGCTGTGGGGAGGGACTCTTCGTTAGGGACTCTAGTGGTAGGACAAGGGGTAATGGCTTTAAACTTAAACCGGGGACATTTCAGTTAGATATAAGGAAGAAGTTCTTCACAGTGAGGGTGGTGAGGCACCGGAATAGGTTGCCCAAGGAAGTTGTGAATGCTCCAACCCTGGAGGCGTTCAAGACCAGGTTGGACAGAGCCTTGGGCGACATAGTTTAGTGTGTGGTGTCCCTGCTCATGGCAGGGGAGTTGGAACTATATGATCTTAAGGTCCTTTCCAACCCTATCTATTCTATGATTCTATGATTCTGTGCTTAGCTGTCATTCTTTTAATAAACCATACCAACAAAAGGAAGGTGTAAAAATAACATTTCTAGAAAAATTGATACACTGAACACTGAGGTTTCTTTAGCTACAAAATTATTGCAGGACAGACACCAACAGCACAGGATTTCTGAAGGTGTTGGTATGAACTATAGTGCCTTCTCTAGCAAGGAATACAAGGCAGGTCAACAGTGACTTAAAACCAGTATCACATGGTAGATATCAGATAACCCAAATTATCATTGTCCTTGATTCCTGATCGAGGGTGGCCCGCCTTTCCTAACTGTGGTCTTTCTACACTGCTGCCAAGGTGCTGTAAAGACAATGTTATGGTTGCTGTCCATCCTGCAGTTGAAATGACTTCTAGAAATCAGGGTCTGTCATGCTGGGCAGTGCTACTTCAGATGATAAGCTGGTAAATCTGTGCTGTGATGTGATGTCATGTCTTTGGTGGAAAGACATGTCGATCACCCTGTAGTGAGACATATACTATAAAAAGAAGAGAAAAGAAAGAATTTGATTATTCCATTTTATTCGTAAAAGATATTTATTGTTTAACTAACTTCATTCTGTCACCTTTGTGAAAGGAATTAAACACATCATGAGAGCAGTTGCCACAGACAACTCAGAGAGTGCAGGTGGAGAGAAATGGCAGCAAGCATACACAGGTCAAACAGTAAACAAGTACTGGGATCCATGGTCAACATTCTTAGTTTGCATATTTATTCTGGCATCACTCCTAGCAGCTAAAATCCATCTAGGCAACTTCTTAATATAAACTAATATTCTGGAGCACAGTTTCCAACGCATTATGTAGCCTCAAGTCAGGTATCGGATTCCCTTACCAAAAATCATCATGTTCTTATTCATAGTCCTCTGGCTGCCTTTGCTGTAGCTCTTACATGATGATGAAGTCTGAGTAAACATTAGTTGGAGGGCCAGCTGTCAATGGCTGTGAGCACTGTCCCCTCTCTCCTCTAAGCACCAGTGTTGCAATCTGCTGTCTTTAATCTTGGGTTCTTCACAGTGAACTACTCTGCTAGTGAAGTTAAAAAATGCTCTTTTAGTTGTCAGTACACTTAGTGTGCTACAGAACAATTTTTGTTTCTGATGCAATGATATCAGCCTGACTTTTTTTTTTTTTTTCTGTTTTGGCAATTCTAGAGAAGCTTGAAAGTTTCATACATTGAAATTATCATAAAACAGCTCAGCTATGTAATTATAATAGTATAATTACATACATTACACGCTATGTAATTATAGCTTATACAGTAAACATCAGTGCTGCTGTGCCTGAGTGAGACAGGTGGGTCTGGCAATGCAATATTTGGGAGTCCTCACTCATTCTTCTTAGTGTCTGGGAGTGTTCACATCACAGTTTTGGTTTGTCCTCTTCCTAGGGATGTGGACAGGTCTAAATATGGAAATCCATTTCCTATAATCAATTGTTTAAGGATTTTATTGGCATGAGAGTAATACTACATTTTCCCTAAACAAAACTTACAAGACAACAAATAAGCTTCACAAATCAATTTAAACTATATTTACCCCAGCTTATTACCACAATGACTCAAAAAAACCCAACCAACCAATATATTTCTCTTTATCCAAAACTGAAGCTAAAATACCTTCTCTAACTCACAGAGCTTTTGGATAAATTGAAATCCATGAGGAGTGGACATATGCAGCCCTTTGGGAGAGTCAGGTTTTGAAGTGAACTATAGGGCTGCAGCTCCATAGATAGCACCCCTCATCTGCACAGCCAGCTGCCCCTGCTCTTTGCACTTGACAGCCCCAAGGTTTTCTTAGTTTTCCTTTGCTTGTATATTGTATTTATCTAAATCCAGTGGTTCTCTTGAAGCAATTTTATTCTTAAAGTAGTATTTTCTGGGTGGACAAGATTTATCGGGGAGTTTTGTCCTATTTTCAGTGCATTTTCACTAGTTTGGTAAGTGATCCCTGATGCTTGCCCACTTGTTTCTGCTTTAACTTGAAATAATCCTACTAACTTGCTCACATCCAGTTAACAAGATTTTTTTCCTCCCACCTCTCTGCATTACAAAAAGCTTGCTTAGTTATCCCATTTGGAGCACAGTTCAAACATGTTTCCAGGCCTTTCTCAATCATGTATTTTTCTCTAATAAATTTACAGGGCCCCGAAGGGACACCAGGAAATCCAGGTCAGCGGGGCCGTTTAGGAAAGAAGGTAGTGTTTTTTCTCTTCCCCTATTCTCTTCCTTTTATCTGAAACTCAAATTTACATTGCAAAATAATCTCATTGTACCAAGTCTATCCCTGTTTTATGTCATGCTTCAAGGTGATGTTTTTTCTTTCTAGCCATAGCAATCAAAATGTCATCAATTGATTGCAGGATCTGCAATCAATAACATTCAGGACCTTAGGAGGTTTAAATTTGTATCAGGATCTGATTTTGCAACTCATAAATTTCTGCTGCTATCAAATAATGCTAACCTTTAGCTAAAACAAAACAAAAGTAATAGGCTTTAGCTGTTTGTTTTGTTTTTTTTCCACTGCAGAGTTCTAGGTTCAGACATTCCAAGAACTATAGTAAATGTTTATGTCAATACCTATGTAAATGTAATACTCCTATTAAATAATGCTGTTACACAATTAGGTTAAGCATAAACTGCATTTTGAAACTTAGTACTGATCTGTTATTCCTTTTAATATAATAACACCAATAGGGGGAAAAGGGTCAGCTTGGCCCCCCTGGAGAAATTGGACCTGCTGGTGACCCTGGCCAACCTGGAGAAACTGGTCCCAAAGGTGCAAGAGGAACTCAAGGCCCCTTGGTTCGTGTAAACCATGCTTATTTATGAGCTCATGTATTTCTGGTGTAGCAGAATTGTGTCTCTCCATGGAAAGAGGCAAGTCACAGCTGTAGCACACATAAATAATTTTTGATGTTGCTGGAGATGCAGGCAGTGTCTTTCCTAGCCTGTTCTTCTCAATGTATGACGATGGAAAAGCCCAGTATTCTTTACCAGATGAAGTTGGACCTAAGAAGGAAGTTGTCTGTGGTTCAGAAATCTCAATATTTGAAGATTTTTCCAAATCATAACCTTTTATAAAGTAGGCATTGTTGTAACATTTTGCAAGAGAGCTCATTTTTCTATCACTGATTATTGCATTAATAGGGATACTTGGGAGGAATGGGACCTGAAGGAGAGTCAGGAATTCCAGGTTATGGGGTGAGTTTTTTACTGAATTCATGTGTACACACATCCATAATAAGTATGTAGTACTCTAAATAATTTCAAATATCATGGGGATCCCTACCTAGAATACACAAATATTTTTAGGAATGTCAGATACTCACATATATCTATATGACATGGTATTGCCCACTCAGAAGCGTTAGCCTTAAGCAATGAGGACTTGGTTTTGTGAGTTCACTAGGAGTTGTTTTTACCACAGATTTGGAAACTCTTGTTTGTCCTACATATCTCACTCCTTGTGAATAAATTTCCTGTAAGACTACTACAGCTATTCATTAGAAAGAGAGGTCAGCAAACACCACCACCTCTGCTTACTATCTGGCCAGGCAGTTTCAGTAACAGAAACTGAATGAGGTTAGTTGAAGGACATAAGGATATTGTGGCTTTCACTGAAAAATATTTATTATCCTCATCATGGATGGATAGACCTGCTTTTACAGACCAGACTCTTTTTCTGAACAGAAAATCCTATCGCCTTAGCCCTGAAGCCAGAACCAGCCTGGCTCCCCTCACCTGCATCAAACCCTGCCAGAACCTTTGGTTTCCCACTGTGCACAGAGCTTTTCCTGCACACAATACATTTTCTGTCTGGGCCCATTAATTTTGTGCCATATCACTATTCAGCATTATTAGCAAGCAGCAAAAAAAAAATAGTAACAGGCAGCTAAAAGAAAAGTTGAGAATTAATTATTTCTTAAATTATTTGTTTTGGAGTTGATGTTTCTTTTGTTTGCTTCTTTAGGGTCACCAAGGTGCTCCAGGGCCTTCAGGACCCCCAGGACCTAAAGGAGAAAAGGTATGAAGATGGATTATACTATCTTACACTTTGAATAATTATAAAGGGAGAAAATGTTCCTGCATGCTCACTGTTTACCACAGCATGCAGCAAATATTAGTATTGTGAAAAGATATGAGAACAAAAAGCAAAACTAGGGAAATGGATCATTTGGGGGAAGAGTTCCAAATTATGCAGTTGAAATGTTTCAGGTTCTAAAACAGAAGGTACCCCTTCTAAGAAACACATTCTGTTGTATCAGGTAGTACCACTGCCTTTAGTGGGTACTGCAGACAGAAATCACTGCAGAACGAGCAAAGTATTTTTGTAGCTTTCAGCCTGTGAGTACACCCACAGATGTTGCTGAAAGTCAAACTAAGATAGACAAAGGTTTGTGCTTAATATAAAATGTTAGGGGCAGAATGTTGTCTCAGTTGATGCTATTTTAGTCTCAAATTCGGTGTTGTTCTTTTAAGCCTCAAATCCTGCATACAAATTTGTATGCTGACTGAAGTCGGTGTGGCTCCATGCAGGTACAGGAATTCCCTTCATGAAGATTAGTTTGGAGTTGCACTTGACAGGAAATACATTCTTGTATTAGGACCAGTTTTGCAATGAATACTACGAATAGCAATGAGTGACTTATGTTACAAATAAATTCTGATGTAACTGAAAACTAAATTGTTGGGAGCTAGGTGTCTAGCTTGCTTGGTCACTTCTGAAAAAGCATTTTGATGCACTTTGGAAACCTTTAATCATATTTAAAACATGAGCCTCTTTGGATTAAATATTGGTAAATATCATCTGGAATAGATAACTTTTTGTCTATTAGTTTGGATGGCAGTTGTTTCATATTTAAACTTTAATGGAGTTCAGGCTGAATGTTGGGAGTCTTCTCTACACTTGTTTTTATTAAGTATATTTCTCAAAACAGTGGAAGAATTTTTCTTTTTCCCTCTTGTAAAATACCCTGTTTATTCTTTCTTTTATTAAATAAAGAAATGGACGTTGTTCAAATACTTACTTTTTATAGCTGCCTTTGAGAATAGGACAAATACTTAGCTTTTTTAATCGTAAATGTCTTTGGGAAGTTTAGGTACATGTTAAAATGGAGTTATCATTTCCACTGTTTTAAAACCATAATCATCATATTTACTTTTAGCATCTATGAAGTATGCTCTGTGGGTGTTTATTAGCATTTGAACATGTGTGCATTGTAGATGAGGTTGTATTTCCAAATTAATGTATTTTAATGTATATTTTTGCTTTAGGGTTACCCAGGTGAAGACAGTTCAGTCCTTGGACCACCTGGGCCCATAGGTGAACCAGTAGGTCTTTCTTTCTCAAAAAAATTACATTAGTGCCTCTCAAGACAAGAGGCAATGCAGGTTCTTCCTGAAACTTTGTATCGATGTCTTGGGAGTCAGTACTCCCTTGTACAAAAATGTAGAATGATGGTCCTTTAATCACTAATCCCCCCCTGAAAAATGCAGTCATGTGCTCTTTCCTGCGTAAGTGCATGAGCCTTGTGTTTAATTACACTAATGCCATTAGTCTGTGTTTAGACCAGCACATTTTGGAACAGAATCTTTCCCTCTCTGTTATTCCTGAATTATACCTAATTGCTTTACTAACCAGAGCTGTGTTTTGATTTATTTCATTATCACTACAAAGCTAATTTAGCTGATTTAGAGAGAACTAAATTTTGTAACCTTTTTTTTTTTTTTTTTTTTTTTTTACTGAATTCCTATGTGGGGTATCTCTCTGTGGCAATTATGAACATGTACCAAAAAAAAGCCATCTCAAAATCATATTAAAAGCGTTTCATGTTCAGGCTTTGATTGTGCCAGAAGCAATACTTGTACAGCCAACTTCTCTTTAGATTAACCTTAATATTTATACCCCATCTTCTCAAAAGGCAGGACTTGTAAGACCCTGGTGTAACTGAAGACAGAATCTGGACTAGATTCTTAATTTAATTAGGGGAATGCATTAGAGAAGACACTTCAGCCAGTTCTGCTGTAGCCTAACTAGCTCTGTAATGGTGACTGCTCAAATATTCCAAGCAGGGCCTTTCTACCTTGTGGTTTCCCTCTAAGAAACATGCTGTGACGCTGCTGAAACCTTGGATAGTATACAGACAGTTGCATAATAGCATCTCTTGGTGAATATGCACTAGACGTGGCTAGTATGTTCATTTGTGAACTGTGAAAGATACACTGCAGTTAGTGATGCCTGGCCAATTTTTCATTATGTGCTTTTACATAAGACAGGTGGGAAAAGCAGTCCCTTGTTATTTCACCTAATGATTGGCTGGGTGTCTTTTAGAAAGTCTTGGCCATTCTTGCTTCCCGTGGGCATGATTCCCTATGCTGTTATTTTTCCTTTGACTGAGACTTGCTGCAATGAGAGTTAAAATTCTAGGAGAAATACCATTTCTTGTGGAACTGGAGTAAGGGCTTTTCCCTAAAGTAGAGCCAGTGAGGTGTCTGAATGCAGCAGGAAGAACCACATGACAAAAAAGTCATTCTGTTCTCACTGCTCCTGTGCATTTCTTGTATGTGTGAAGCATGCTGAGGAACTGAAATCGTCTTTTTATTAGGACAAACTTCAAAATTAAAGCAGATTCTGAGTATATCAGAAGCAAGTCATTTCAGAAAAGAACCCAAGTTTTCATGGGTTATCTTACAGAATCCATAAAAGAGTTTTTCTTACATGTCTTGAAAACAAAGTTTCTTCATTTATTTATGAAGATTTTTAATTCAGATATCGCATATATGGGTACAAACCTAGAGAAGTTCTGCTGAGGTCAATAGTCCTGTTTCATTTATGCCCATGTAAGATCTATTTTCTAGATTCTAGTCTTCAGTTACAAAATATTTCAGACAGTGGCTACTGTCTGACTGCAATGCATTTTGTTTAGAAAAAAAGAATGTTTATTTCTCAGGACAAGCTAACTTTAATATTTGTAATCCTCAGTTCTGTCTTGTTGGTTAGTCTGTTTTGAGAGAAATCCCATCTTTCTTTTTATATTTCTTTTGAGTGTTATTTCAGTTATTTCAGTGTTACATTTTTCTCTTTGATTTTCTTTCAAGGGTCCTAGTGGTGAACGTGGAGACAGAGGAGAACCTGGTGATGAGGGTTACAAGGTAATACTAATACCTTCTGCTTTATTCTTCTTATTTGAACATGGCATGCTATGCATACATGTAGAGTAATGCAGCAGAAGTATCATCTTATCTCACAAGTGTGCAGAAATTGTGCCTCACTGCACTGATTAGCTTTTAGAACACACTGGAGCATCTTTCGTGTGAGGAGAAGTTGCTGGGAAGAAGCTGGGACTCATGAGCTGGAGAAAAGAAAGCCTGGGTGATTTTAATGTGTAGAAATACCTGGTGGGAGGGAATGAAAATTAAAGAGCCAGACTTGTCTCAGTAGTGTCCAGTTTCAGGTCAAGTTGAGGCAAAGGGCACACACTGAAACACAAGAAATTCCTTTTGAACACAAGAAAACACTTTTCACTGTGAGGATGACTAAGCACCAGAACAGGCTGCCGAGAGAGGTTATGGAGTCTCCATCTTTGGAAATACTCAAAACCTGACTGGACGTGTTCCTGCACAACCTTTTCTACCTGGCCTTTTCTACCTAAACAATTCTGTGATTCTGTAATACTGAATGAATTAACATTTTTCTCTGAAATTTAAGAACTATTTATTTATAAATCTAAGCCTAATAACTATTCATGAAGTGTATTCAGCCTTTTAGCATAGACAAATTGGATGGTCACTAATCACTGATGCAGTTTGTTTGCTGAAGTACAAAAGAGACAGCCCTTGACGTGCAACATCCTGTTTAAGTTACACAGATAATAGAGATAGACATAGTAATAAATCAATGAACTGGATACTATCTATGTTTTCAGAAGTGCAGAAATGTTTAAACAATATGTAGTTCCCTAAGGTCTGATCTCAGGAGAGCTGGGCGTACTTCATCTACGTCACATCAGCAAAGCTCAGGCCACCCAGAACCTCTCAATATGGCCTTTACAAGGAAATCTGTAGCTCAGTGAGCATGACATCCTGAGTTACTTGTATTGCAATATGCTTTTTTTTCTGCTTCCCAGGGTCCTATAGGTCTTCCAGGGCTTAGAGGACCTATTGGACAACAAGGGTCTCCAGTAAGTGTTTCAAACAAGTGAGATTTCTCTATTGTCTGTTGCAAATGTGCAACAGCTGCATTCACATGATTCTTTTTATTTATTTAATGTATGTTCTTTCCAAAGGGAGAGCCAGGTGAATTGGGAGATCAGGGACCAAAAGGAGAAAGAGGTTCAGAAGTAAGTATAAAAAAGTAAAGCAAAACTGTATTTAATTGGCATTTGTATGGTTTTGCTGTTTGCTGACTATCCTTGGATAACTGTTATATAAGGCTCAAACTCAGTATTTTGGGTTTCCTTGACAGAGCAAGTAGTGAAAAATATCAAAGGCTAAATCTTTTCCTTTAGAAATAGTAGTTTGTCTTGGTGGTGTGCTGAAAATTGCCGAAAGTATTTTGTATTTTCTTCTGTGGTCAATTTCATTGGCTTTTGAGATTTCAAAAGATTTAGGCTAGAAGTATTCTTACAATACCAGTTGCCGTTGCAACTTAAATGGGATATTTTGCCTGAGAAGTTCCATAGTGCAACTCTGTTGGAGTTTCCAGATGAACACAAGAATCTGTAGTAGATAGGAATGGAGAATAGGAGAAAGAAAACAACATGAAGACATTATCTGCATGCTCTCTAGCCATGCACTCACATATACTGCCTTTGACAAACTACTCACAAGACAGGACAAATCAGTCATTCCTCTGTCTTTTCCTTGGAAACTATTTTCTTTGTGTTGCAAATGCCCCTCAGATTAAAACTGCCATTGCAAATATGGAACCAATATCAACCCATAATAAAAACCTAAAGGTTTACACAAAAATCTTAACAGTGAAAGTATTTGTGCTGTCTTAACTCCATTGGCATGACTGGTGCTGCCACAGCAACCCTTATGAAGCTAATGCCAAAAACTGCAATGCTGGATCTGGGCTTACTTGACATGCGTTCAGAAATTTTAGTGAAAGCAATATAAAGTTCTTTGAATATACATGTTTCAGTTCTGATGGGTGGAGTTTTCTATGCCTTTCTTAACAGAAGGTGTTAAATTAAGGAATATAACAATTTTGCTGATTTATCATATATGTTAATTATAAAACATTTACACTTAGAGTGACATTAACTTTTTCACTTTATTGTATGTTATGTAATATTGCAGCATAGTAGTTTAGTAACACCTTTGCTTTAAGAACAGTATTTAAAATAATTAATCCAGAAAATCTTGGAAGTTTTTTCTACTTGATCTATGCTAACAAGTGTCACTCTTGTTCCTGGTGTCTGAGTGGTTGTATTTTTCAGAGGCAGGATAAAATTAATGCCTTAGATCTTTTACCTGTGAAGAGTGTCATATAAACAAAATTCTCTGATATGCTTTAGACTTATTCTGAACTTTTCTTCCTTGGTACTTGGCATCTTCTGTCACTAAACCACCTATGAGGATGTTATCTGCTAGATATCACTCAGTTTTCTAAGGCTACAGATTCCTAGATGAGTCAAGACAAAAAAATCTGGTTTTAAGTAAATTTTATCTTTCGTGTACATCTTAGGTAAAAAGAATATTCCCATATGTGACACTATTGTTTTCTAATATTCTTTTCCACATATACTCAGCTCATCTACATTGCCTGCTTTTCATTACTTCCCTTTTTAAAAGGTATGGGAAGTGCTCTAAGAATGTATTTCCTGACAGAGGTGTGGCTGATAGAGGAGAAATTGCCAGATTCAAAGTGAAAACCTTCTTATGCGTATTGTTGTAAAGGTTCGGAAAACTACACTATACCAGTTTGGGAAAGGGAAGAATATATACCCTTCTACCAAAAATGCATTCACTCTTACTCAAAAATCTTTCTCTTGAAATTGAAATACTCTGGTCCAAAGCCAGACAATGCAAATATGCATACTAGAGGGGAGCAATTTGCAGCTCTTCTGAGGGGACTGAGTTGAAGAGATTTGTCAGCTCACAAGTATTTGCAACTTTTAGGGACCCACAGGGAAGAAAGGAGCAACGGGTCAAGCAGGCAAACCTGGAATTCCTGTAAGTAACAAAATTCTACAGTCTCTCTTCAGGTTATAAACCAAAGAAAATAATAGCTAACAAAACCAAAATTGAGTCATGCTAGTGGTACCAGAAAGTCTTATGCTCACTCTAAAGAACCTTCTTATTATTCAGGAAGTGTAAAGGAACCCTTGTGAAAATACAAAATAATTTTTGAAATTGTGCTATATTATACTGAATTATATTCTGTCACTTGGCACATGGAAGCAAAGAGCAGCTAATATAACAACAAGATTCTCCCCACTTGTAAAGTTAATTAGGTCATTTTTGCGCATGGCCTGTAGTCCATGTGGAAGTTATCCCAGTATATTGCACAGAGCTGTACTACTGTTCACTCCTGGCTCCCATCAGTTCTTTGAACAGCTGTAGCCTACAGAAGCCAGATCCATATGTCCATGATGGATACAGCTGGCAAATCCCTTGAGGTTTACTCCTTTCTCTTGCTTGCCCTGGGATGAAATTTTTAATGTTCTGTCTGGAGTTACTGTAGAGAAGCTGACTTGCATCCCTTTCTCCCTCAGGGAGAAGAGCGAGCAGGAAGCAGTAGGTGTTCTGTAAGCATAACCAAGAACAAAATGCATCAAGGCTATTTTGGTGCCCTAATAAATAGTACCACACAAGCACATATTGTAAATAACTTTTACTACCTCACATCAAAACATTGTCAGTAACCAGAGAAACACAGCTGCTTCACAGAGCTCGTACCTGCTGGGAGGAGAGCAAGAAGAGCCTTTTTTAAGCAAGGACAAAACTATCCTTTGTAAATACTCATCTCTTTCTTCTGGGGAACTGCAGAGAGTGTATCATTCAGCAGACAAAGGAAAAGAGGGAAAGGCAAGACGTACATAGAAGCAAGCAGGAAAAGACAGTTAAAACTAGAACATGAGGAAGTTTCCAAGCACACCCCAAGTGCAAGATGCTTGAGCAACCAGAAGTTAGAAATAAGATGGTATGCTGCTTGTATTCTGTGTGGCTGTTGTTAACAACACCTTTTTGAACATGATGTATTGTAGTTAGCGTATTTTAAGTTGCTGAGAAACTCATTCATGCAGAGATAATTGCATAACTCCAAGCCCCTCAAGAAGGTGTATGTCAGTCTAAAGGGAAATAGTCGTAAAGAAAAAAAATCACTGTCCTCTGGTGGATGTGACATGAGGCTTTTTCGTGAAAGTATGGCAAGTTAGCACAAACTTGCCTTGTTAGAAGTTTGTATGTGTCTTTTTTATGTTCAAATTTGAATAGCATCGATTTCCGAATGTACAGTACAGAGTATCTAGTAAAATAAAAGCTGAAAAGGTATGTGGTTGGGTTTTTTACAGGGATAAGTAGATTACTTTATCAGGTTTCCTTGCTTCAGTTTAAGAATCAACACTGTCAGCCATTTTCCAGGCCTGGCACACAGAGGGGTCAGCCCCATAGTTTCAGCTGAAGTTGCTCAGATCCCACAACACACCAAGTGTAAGGTTAAGCCAATAGGATTTTAAACCAAACATCCTAATTCAGAGCTCCTCTGCGAATATTCATTTGTGTCACTGGGTCTGTTATTATGTAGGGTTTAGGAAATACTGCCTAAAATCTAGTTCTGTGATGGTGAAGATGAAGAAAGCCCAACAGTGCTATATTTGATTTGAATTTGTTTTAAGGGAAAACCGGGGCCAGCAGGCAAGAAAGGAGCAGTTGGGTACCCTGGACCAGAAGGCGTTCTTGGGAATCCAGGCAAGCCTGGGCTATCTGGGAAGCCTGGCCCTAAGGTAGGTTGCTTCCACATTGCCTCTTTTTATGTCATTGCGCATTACAAATTTTCTAGGGTTAGTGTATTTAAGCAGAAGGAACAATTCTCAGTTCCCTGAGTATCTTGAAAATGACACCAATTCTTTTGTTTTCTTTCTTTTTTGCTCTTAACATTCTGGCCAGGATATAAAGTTAGCATAAGGGACGTGTGCTGGGAGAAGAACTATTTCATTAGCATTTGTTACTAGTAACTGCAGCTAAGAGAAAATGCTTTCTTAATCAGAGAGGCTTCACAGTTTTGTTCCCAAAAAAGAGCTATAGGCCCCAGCTGAGACTGTCTCCTCTAAGGCTTGGAGAGAATTCCACGTTTTCCTTACTGTCTTTGAATTTCTAACCTATGTCTCTCTACCTAAGCGATTCTGAAGCTTTGCGCAAAACCAGTGAAAAAAGAGTATCAGGTATCCGAGGTACTTGGAAGCAGGTTTTTTGTTTGTCTGTCTGTTCTTTGCTGCAGGCCAGGGATGGTGACCTGCTGCTTCTGGGAGCAGTGACACAGCTCTTTGCTTATTCATGCCAGAGAGGACGGAGAAAATCCCTTTAGTTGTTCTTGTTGTTGAAAGTCTGATCACATTGATTCCAAGTGTATTTCTCAGTAGTTCTGATTAGATGGACCATTAATTGTTATAAAAAGATGCCAAGTTAGATTGCGTGTTAGGAAATAATCAAGGTGCCAGATGAGACACAAGTATAAATTTCCTACCTGGTTGAACAAACAGAAAATGAAACAAGTTACCCGTAGGGGGCAGATGTACCCTGTTCAAGCCTCTTCAGTTTCAGATAAAGTCCTACAGAACCTCTTCCAAGTACTTGAAATTCTTTGGAGTTGGATTTAGGAGTATCACCCCAAAGAATTCTTACATTTTTTCCTTTCCACTCAAAATGTCTTCTTTCATGTTAAAAATATTAACAATATTATAATCCTCCATATTAACAATATATAGAAACATTATAATTTGTAATAAAGAGAGGCTTGTAACTGATTTTTGCCACAATGAGTAAGAACAGAACTTTTGCTATGCAAGTTTATCAGTCTGTCAGGCTACAAGCTACGCTACCATATTCAAAAGCCCTGAAAATCACATTTAATATAAAAAAACCTGTTTAATATAACCCTTCTATTTCTATGAATGCTTAACTGAATGCCATATGAAATAAGAAAGAAGATACATCTATGTATGTATATGTTTATACTAAATGATGTCACAGAAACATTCATTTGGATGGTAGCAATTTTGTGTTTCCTAACATGTCAAAATTGGCTTAACTCCATGTACGCAGTAGCATGTTTTTTCATTAAAAATAGTTTCTTTTGTTTATAGTCTGATGGTGTCATGCATTTTTGTAACAAATGTTTTGATCTTTCTTAACGTGGTAATTTTGTATGAATCTGTACAGTGTACACAGCCATACTAATGTTATCAGTATGTCTGATATTTATAAACATTTGAACATCTCTGTGGGAAGGTAGTCTCATTCTGTTTCTTGATGTGGAGTTCCTTCTTGAAAAAATGAATACTGTGAATCTCAGCCCACCTGTAATGAATGAATTCAGCATCTTGTTTTCATCAGAAGGAGCTCCTTATTGTAAGCTCAGAATCCTCAGACCTCACACAATACTTAACCAAGAACCATTTCAAGGAGTCATCTTCCATAACTGAGATTAGTGTTCTCTTCCTGCATATTTTCACAGAGAGTTAGAAAAAAATTAAATAGGACTTAGTGCTAATGGCTGTTATTCTGAACATGCAAATGTTTAGGTCTGGGAAAAAAATCGGGTCTCGCATAAAGTGTTCTATATGATTCCCTGTGGGAGGTGAAAGCAGTCACTGGTATGCATGTGAGTGCTTCCATGTATACTTGAATTCACAACTGCTGTGGACAGATTTCTTCCTGTTTCTAGATCACTGGTGCTTAAGCTGGTGATCTAACTGGGCAACTGTTCTTCTTGAGGAGGGTGCTAATAGGGAAGACGCTTTGCATAAGCCCAAAGAGGCAATTAATTCTCTTGAATGTTCTCAGAAGTCTTTCAAGGTCTAAGTAGGTGATCCCACAGAACTGACATCAGGCTATACTTAGAGCAGGGCAGAACAGGGTTTAAGATGAGCACTGAACTGAACAATTGCAGTGGGCTATAGCATTTGCTTTGCTGACAGTCAGTGATTTGTTAAACTATAGTAACTTGATCTTACATGTGCTTTAACTCCCACAGTTAAAGCACATGTAGCTTTGTTGCTATGTATGACAGGGTTTTGCTTTTGGAATATTAGTAGAAATCAGGATGATACTGCTGATCATGGTCTTTCCATGTACTGCTGTATTGTAAATGTGTGTCCATATATACAGAAAGTATTAACTGGCTTTGATTTTCATGTTATATGCCTGTTTTAACATACAGTGAAATAAACATGTCTGGCTGTTCTGCTTGTAATCAATTATTTTCAATTTGTTAAGGGTAACAAAGGAAACTCGGGCTTGCCGGGTCTCGCAGGTTATCCTGGAGCTCGAGGTCCCAAGGGATTGCCGGGCATGCCAGGACCCATGGGAGCACCAGGACTAAAGGTACACACATGGGATCTTTTTGTTTAATTACAGTATTACTTACATTGCTTTGTCTTCATACTACATCCAGTGGTTGTGGAACTACCATGCTACTGTCAATTACATGAGTAGCTGACATTAAAACTTATTTGAAGGGTTAGACTGCAAATTTTGCTGATCTTGCTTCTATGAACTGCAATTTGAAAACAGAGATCTCATCCATCTGGATGCCATTCCCATCTCTAGAAACCATTCAAAACACTTTGTGTATATTCACTCAAAGCTTTAGGGCCAAATATTTCCTGACTTTTCTTTTTAAACTTCTGTAACTGCTAGAACAGTTTGGATTATTTGAACATGTATTAGCAGAAAAGTACTATAATTTCAAGCTTTACAAGTGTGTCCAGGATGTCCATTTATCATAGGACTGAACTTGATCTTGTTTAGCCCTGTCAGAAAGAAAGAAATCTGAGAGTGTTCAGTTTTCCAGGGAGTTCCAGGTACCTGACATCAGTATATCCTCATACTAATTAGACTTATTTCATCGGTAAAAAAGGCGAAGAATGCAACATTAAAGATCATTTTCTCCATTTAGAATAGGTTTTTTCATCTAAAATCAAAATTTGCAGTGCTCTGTGAGATTTTATTGGTAAGGAATTTCTTAAAATTTTCATTCACTTGAAAACTGGGGGAGGGAAATACTGTCTTTGTCATCTTTTCATGAAAATATTTTAGTGTAAACAGTATTTACTACTTGTAGTGCTTATTGCCAGTGATCCCAGTCTGGATTTTACTCCTTTGTCTAGACAATGAGCTGTAGGAGGTAGTTCCTGCTAAGAAGTGCTTGCAATCTGAAAAAGACAGGGAATAGATGAGGTGAGAGAAAATTGTTACCACATAGTGCAAAATAAGTGTTACGATTGGACATACTGAGTCAGGCCAGGAGTCTGTCTTTGTTAGAGCAGTAAGGTAACACCTAGGAAAGAGCATAAGTAAAAAGCAGGCATGAGAAGTGTATATTCACAGCCTTAATTGTAGCTCAGTAATCTTCTGAGCTAGACATAGCTTCTATGTATTTGATAGTCTTCAGAGGATTCTTCTTGCATGAACCTCTTTAGTTTCCATTTGAATTGATGCAAACTTTTAGTGGAACAGGAAAGAGTTCCACAACTACACTGAGCCTTGCTCAGAGGATTACTTTTTAAATCTAACCTGCCTGTTCTGTATTTCATTTTGTGAGTTTGAGTGCTTGCACTGGAAGATACCATACTGGAAATGATCTGACATGTATGAGTTTTGTATGTTTCCAAGTCAAGGAACACTCAAGTCACATTGAGATTTTAGTGAATTTATAATTGTTGAAAGTGTTCCTGGTGGAAATAAAATTAATGGAGTAGGTCTATTTCTTAAAGACAAAGCATGTTCTATGCTTCTGCCTGGAGTCCTATCTTTAACATTTGTAACTCTCATAATTGTAATAAGGGATATGTTGTCTTCCTATTGACAGGGTGAGAAAGGGCTTCTGGGTCATCCAGGAAAGCGAGGCAAAAGAGGCTTTCCAGGATCACAAGGTGATCAAGGACGAGCAGGAGATGCTGGACTGAAAGGACAGGCTGTAAGTAATCACAGCTGCTGATGCAAAACAGGTATACCAGGAGTTATCAACTTGAAAAAATAGTAAGGATACCTGCTCCTATTACAGGGAGAAGATGGAGATCAAGGTTTAATGGGGTTTCAAGGATTCCCAGGTCCAAAAGTATGTGCTCATTCTTTTCTGTTAGATCTTAAGCCATTTACAGAGTGAGAACATTAGGAAAGCATCAAATTAATCAGCTTTAACAATAATTTGTTCAAAATCTACCTGAACTGTTGGAACACTGTAGGCACAGCTGTGTACCCCATGTCCAAGGACAAATATTTAGGGTCAGTATGCTTTGGTATTTTCACTGTTACTGTTCTTAGAAATTATCTTACTTTCACTGATTACGAGAGATTGAAACAAGTGGATAGCTAATGTCCATGTTTGATTAAACTGTTCCTTTGCATTTTCAGGGTCCTGCAGGGGACATTGGCTTAGTTGGAATTCTGGGCCCGAAAGGTCCAACAGGCCAAGTTGTAAGTGTTTCACTCCATGAAAGAGGTGGTCAGGATGGCTTGCAAGTGGCACATTTTTTTAATTTAGGAAATAATTATTTTTTTTTAATTATTTTTAACAAGGCTGGAACCTTTTAACCAAACCTTTCTGAGACTATGACTCAACTAGAAGCCCTTTGCTTGTACTGCAACACTGCTCTGTTTGCAGCATGGGTATAGTACACAAGCAGAGCTGAGCTCTTAATCTTCAAGGGAAAAAGCAAGCTCTGCTGACAAAGTGTGTCTCTCCTAGTATAATTTCATCTACACAAATATCCTTATTGCTGTCATATCTTTGCCTGTTGGAATTGAAAATTCTCTTTCTTCTTACTGGCAACAATGCTGATCGTATAACTGTCCTACAGTAAAAGAGAAAAGGGTCAAACTTTGCCTGCAATAAGGAAGAGTGATGCTCAGGCATTACTGATTAATAAGTAGTCTTTTTTTTAACAAATATTTTCTTTTTTATCTATAAAGTTACTAACCTGCATTAGTTTATTCTTCATTACACCCTCTTCATGACATTCTACTTTGATGCTCAACAAAAATGTGGAAGCATCTTTAGCATTTTGTAATAATGGGGAGTGTGCATCCAGCTTTACAGCACAGAGTAAAAAAAGGGGAAAGGCTGTAGCCTTGAAGGCCTTACTTCAAAATGTTCTTCTTTCACTGCTGCCATTGTCCTCAAAGAAATTAACTAGTTAATTGAACCAGATGCAGAGTAGCAGCATTAGGGGCCCGTTCTAATAGCTACTTTTGGTTTCAGGGTTTTTTTTGGTAAACATTCCTATACAAGATAAACACTGGAATGAGCAGTTTCCTCTTAAGTGAAATGGAACAAGAAAATAACATTTTAGCAGCACTTACTGGCACTCTTACACGATTACTTGTGGGCAGTAATACAGCTGAAGATACAGTCAATTGTAGCTCAATAAATATGTGGTCTTGGTAATTGAAGTACTTAAGTTTCCATTGTTTGTAGTGCATCAGCTTTCACATAAAAGAATGTGTGTGGCTTTCCAAGCACAACTATTACTAATTATTAAAATAATTATCTTGCTGATTTTGTGGCAATGTGCACTCAATATTCAGAAAGAAAATATCACCATGATCTTATGGCTATTTGCCAGGGCTGTGTGCTGAGCAACTTCAAACCAGGACACATCCTGAGGATTTTCTTCATTTTGAAAACATAGCAGACTAATAAATTCTTTGCTTGTTTACAGGGATATATTGGCCCTGTTGGTCAAGAAGGCGTAACAGGCCCAACTGGCAGGCCTGTAAGTTTCCCTTCTCTTTTGTATAATTCCCCTACCCTTACTTTGAGTCATCTGGTTTGCAAATAGCAACATTCCCATCTTTCTATTTGTAACTAGCAGGACCACCTTCATGTTATGCCATGCTGGTAAGCTAACCTATGTGACTCCGGCATCTGTAATACAAAAAAAAAAAAAAAAAGTCATTGAATTAGCTTTATGTCTAAGTACTGAGGCATACATATCTAAAGAATATCCAGACTCTGTTTCAATGTATTTTATTCTTTATATGTCAATTGGGCTGATAATAAGCATAAAAATAAAATGAATGTACAATAAAATTAATAAACACAAATATTTGCGAGTGAAAAAGAAAGGAGAAGGGAAATGTTCCCTCTATAATTAGACTGTTCTTTCCACTCGTTGGGAAAAAGACAGTACTTTAAGTCTTGCTGCAGCCTTTTCAATCCCCCTCAGGAGAAAAACTTTAAAGTTCCCTATACTTGTATGAAGGCTTTTAATAGACTTCATATTGAATGTAATAGTTTGCATTATCACTAAGAAAACATTACAGCTGAAGATTACTTCTCTGTGTTATGAAATGCTGCCATCAAGACACAAAATTCAGAGAAGAACTATAAGATTGTTACTGTCTTCAGAAACACAGTTGAAGTGCAAAACTAGCAAAAATGCCATGGAGACAGAAAACCAGTGTCTAATGTGACTGTGAGAGGAGAGCCAATGGGGTAATAAAGCCAGATATGTAAACAATGGATTTCTTCAGTGATGGAGAGAGCAGAGTTTTGTTCTCTACTCTGAAGGTGGTGCAGCACTGAAGTATCACAGTGGATCAAATTCTAGAGAATACAGCCAGCTGATGGAGAACACTGCCAGACAAAATTACTCAGAAAAATTGTATTTACAATCCGAAGGAAACAACAGCTTTCCACATGCAGGAATTACAAGATGTTTTCAAGTAATTTGCTAATAGTACAGGAAAATTAAAGCCCCAGATTTGTGAAAACTTCCACAGATGAGACTAGACTTTTCATGTGAACAGTATAACTGTCATGGATATTAATCAGTTCATTTCAGTCTTAGGCAGCTAGAAAGCATACTGGATTAACAGCTGCTCTTTCTTACAGGGACCAAGAGGTGAAAAGGGCACAAGGGGTGAAATGGTAAGATGAAACAACTTTTGGGCTTTCATATTTTTGGTTGTGTAAAAACTATTCCTGTGTCACACTAAATGTACTCTTGGATGGTCTCAATGTCAAACAGTCATGTTGTGCTCCTGGAGAGCACTGCCCAAGAAAGTTGGTAGCATGAGTCAAAAATCTAAGCTTTTCTTGTGCAAGTTGACTTATGTAGATGTGCCCAGTGTATGTATGCTGTTAGGCAGTATGGCCCCTGATCATAGTGTCACATAATCCAAATATGTCCCATTTCAGATGTAGAAGAAAAATCCTTTGTCACATTTGTGGTCAGTGCTCCAGTGCCTCACAGCACAGCATACATACACATATTCATACACCTGTATCATCTTGTCTAGAGAGGGAAAACTTCAGGAAAAGCCTAAAGCTGAGGATGGGAGTCCATGCCGTGCATGACAGCTGTAGTAGCAGTAGGCAGCACTGATAGGTTATGAAGCTGCCATGTCTCAATTTTCAGTAAGAACATTACATTAGGTTTTGTACGTTACTAAATGTTAGATTTGATTCAGAAATTGTTTTAGAGCTAGTAAAATCTCCAATTAATAATGGCTATGTGAGAAGCCGTTAAATATTATATTTACAGTAAATATGAATACAATTATATTTGATACCTGTAACATTACTTTATACGGCAGTTTTATAATTAGTTCCTTTTCCAATAACTAGCCAATGTGATCTTACTCCTGTTGCTCTTACCCTGCCTTTCACCCTACCTCATTAAAAATAATTTCATTTCTCTTATTATATTTTGCTTTTAGCAGCCACGTGCATACAGTTCTACCCTAACTACCATATAAAAGTTTTGGAAAAAATATCTACCAGAAATATTCAATATTGCTTAAAGAGTTAAGTCTTCGAACTCGGCTTGTTGTTGCACGTGTCTTGGGGAACTTTCCTCTTTGATTCTAATGCTCTGGTGACAATTTCTATCTTGGAATAAGAGGCAAACTGGTTTCTTAATTTGTGCTGCTATTAACTATCTTAACTGTCTCTTCCTACTGTTTATCGATAAGAATTGCTATAACATCATAGAGCTAAAAATGCTGACACTTAAAAAAATAATAATAAAACCCATCCAGAACAGTGAACAAGAAACACCCCTTTCCATTATTGGTACTGGTGTTTAAGAATTAATTTCCTAAATAAGTACTTGAATTCATCAAGATGAATTAATCTTCTAAGACTGTGTTCAGAAGAAGAATGTTTAATTTTAAATCATACACAGTGGCATTAGTTTATATTATGTAGCCAAGAAAAGGATTTATTTCCACTATTTTCAGATACAAAGGAGAGAAAATTGTTTTCATCCAACTGTGTATTCCAAGCTTAAATTTATACCTTCAAAATTTATATTGGCATTCTTCCTAGAATCATAAAGATTTCAACTTTTCTATAGCAGTCCAAGTTTTAGTTACAGTTTTTAGTCTGTCAGGGAGATACGGGGTTCATGACTAGGAAGAAATGTCCTTTTATTCCCTGAAAAACCTCCTTGAAGTCAGTGGTGAACCATGTTGAGGTTCTGTAAGCTATTTCTGGAGGAAACATTCATAGAGGCAGTAACAGAGTTTGAAAAATCTTAATCCAAATTATTTTTCAATATTCGTATCACTGTGATTGAAACATTTAGAAAAAACATGGAATACATTTAAGAATATTGTTTCAGAATTCTGACATTTCTGAAAATGTTTTCTAATTTTCATTTTATGACATTTAACATAATGAATTATATTATAGAGTCATAAAGTAATCCAGATTGTAAGGGATCTCATTTGTAGACTAACCTCCTGTTTAAAAGAATTGGCTCTGAGATCAGACCGCGGTGCTGAGGGCTTTATTCAGCCAGATCTTGAAAACATCCAGGGCTGGAGATCGGATAATCATCTTTTATCTTAAGTTTACAATCATTAATGGCAGCTACTACACTGCATTGTGTATCAGACTTATATTGCAGGTTGTTATTAGGCTTTACCCATTATGAGACATGGTGACAACACCAAAATGACAGAAGTGGTCAGCCTAATGTTAATAATTTTTGTAAAGCTACTTTCTCTTTCTTAGAAAATTTCAAAAGTCATGGAAAATATGGAAGTCCTTGGGATTGCTCATGTTTTCAAAGTAAAGCATATGGATCACTGCATATGAAACCAGGGCTCCACAGTGTTAGAAAAAGACTGGGAGGGTTGGCCTCTGAACTTCTGTACTAACAATCAAATTGGGTGATTAAATAATTAAAGAGCACACTAAACCAAACTGTTCTATTCCCCCCTTTTGTTATTATGAACTGGAATTACACTTCTCTGACTTAAACTCTAATGTGATCAAAGGGTAAATTAAGTAGATTTGTAAAAGCAATCCTGTGTATGGCAGTAAAACATTTAGCAATTAACTTGATCCATGAAAAGTGCTGCTCTGCAACAGTTTTATTTTAAAGGCTTCTAAAAGTAATTGATACAGCCCTCTAAATTTTTTAATGTATTTAAGAAAAGTAACATCTCCAAAAGTAGTTAACTGTAGTTAACAAATAGCATTCAATATTTACCTTTTTTTCACATGGGTTTTATTGGCAAGGAGACAGTGAGGTAATTGCTATCTCAGAATAAGAGGAAAACTAGTTTCTTACTTCATGTTGCTATTTACCATCTTAATTGTCAATCAAGACAAATCACTCTCTTCTTTTGCAAAATACCTTAAATTCATTGGAACAGTGCAGATTCTTATTTGTAAAATATTCAGTTCAATAACAGAAAGCACTATAAATTAGAACTGTTCTTGTCCTAAGACTTTTTGAGTCTTAAAATTGTGACACATGCCAAGAACATGGAATATTAAGTGAAGCATTCAGTCATCTGAAAAATCCACTGGCACGTCTAAATCTCAGCGCTAAGAACAAGGACATCTATTCATCAGAGAGCAGTGGTTACTTGGGGACAAACTGTTGAGGATTTTGTGCCTTCCCTTGACTTGGTATTTGCATAATTAAGTCTTGAACCAAGATAAACCTATCCTTACACTGTCAAATTAATTTCTCAAGTTTCTTTTTCACACTTTCTTTTTATGCTAAACGCACTTCACCGAGCATGCTCAGACAGTCCAGTAATATATCCACGTGAGACTGAAGATGTATCTTGCCGCAACCTAACAGCACCTGAGTTGCTGAACCAATTAATTAATTATGGAGTTTGGCCCTCCCAGCTGGCATACAACAGGTTAGCTCTGTGAAACCCCGCTGGTGTTCAACAGCTGAGGGACTACCCCAAAAAAATGAATGTCCTCTCTGCAAACTCAACTCATAATTTTTTTTATAATAAATAGCAACCATAATACTTTATGCCTATTTAATAGTAACAGGATTTCAAAGAAAATGTCAAGCTGGGCAATAATCAAATTCAGATCAAAGGAAGTTAGGTACTTGCCACAGAACCCCCAGGGATTTCTATACTAAATATGCAAAAATTATTATTTTTTTTATTTCCATTTTCCAACATTAATTATTAATGGCTTTATAAAATGCCAGTAAATACTTACCAAAAAAATGGCTTAGAATTCCTTCTATAGGTATAAGTCGATGAAACATAAATAAGTAGGGTCAGGATTGTATCAGTTGAAAGCTGACAACATTTACAGTCTGTAGAGCTTATGCTATTAAGGTCATCATAGTTAAGTATCAGAAGACCATCTCTCTAAACACCCAGAAATCACTTCAGTTTTGGTTCTCTCTAGTTCTTGAAAGAATATGTAAAGCATGGGTCTTGGCCTCAAAGCCGTTTGCAGTCCATAAGCACAACCTTGTCTGGTGTAGATCTGGTGCTATGAATTACATGATGTCCCCCACTTATGACACCTTTCCCAATCTAGCACCTGAGCCCCTCTGGCCAGGGCGGGTGATGTGCAGGCACACTTAACTCATGTAGCTGTGGAGGTCACTGTAACCCATGGCAAATGCATTTCCTAGTATCTACCATGTGCTTTGCCTTACAAGTCAGTCTAGAAATGCAGCTGGTATTCTCCCTAAGAACTGATAAATTTGGAGCCCCAGAGAATTAAGTAAATCCCTCCTATCTGCTTTGAGATCCTTTTTTTAAATATGCATGAATTAATGTTAGATTAATTCTGGCCTTTGTTTAACCATTTCCAGCAGCCCTTGCTGGTGGCAGCTTGAAGCACAGCCCAAGTTCAGCAGTTAAAACGTGCAGTGACGCTCACACAGATCTTGTGAAATTTCACAGCAGGAGTACTTCTCATTACTATATTAAGTGATTTTACAACTTAATACCTCTTTGAATACATCAGTTTGACAATATTTGTCAACATGACCATGTCAGATAAGATTATTTCTCTTTTGGCAGAGACAGTACTAGCGTGACCACACTGCTCTAAGAGGGCTTTTGCTGAAACAGCTTATTGTGCTGGCATAATGGGTACAAGTAGCACTGGCTAAAGAATGTCTAGCTTAAATTAACTCAGTTACGTTAAAAGGTGTTACTACTACTTGATGCAGGTCTGGCCTATGCCTTTCATTCCTTCTTCTCTTTTGCTGATATTAAGGCACTGCTACCTATTCTTTATTGTTCTTACTGTGGTTTATGTTACAGCAGCTCCTAGAGGCTTTGAGTATATAGAGATTAAAGATGAGAATCTAACAGTGATGCAAGTATCACTGTATATGAATAAATAATCATTCCATCTTAATGGGAGTAGTTGCTCAAGGAAAGGATAATTCAGATGGGGTTATTGTTTTGGGGAGCATCCACGTCTTGCTCTAAGGCAAGCCTTAAACTTAAGGTGAAGACTATGTGCATTGTAGGGACTATAGGCTAGGGAAAAGAGACTGTTCCTTCTCCTCCTCCCCACCGCATCATCCTACACATTAAAATGATGCCACCTACCATGAGGAAATAAAGGTGTAACTTCTTGACTATGAAGGAAGCTGCAGTATCACTTATTGTTAAATAATGAATATAACATGTTCCAAATGAAAACTAACACTGCTAAAAAATGGAGCTAATAAATGCCTAGCAGGTACTCATGGAGTAAAGTGGATCAGTTGTTTTTTTACAGCTACCTATAACATTACTTAGAATGCTTTTATGGTAATTCATCCCTTGTACTACTTGTATGGGCAACATGCATATAATGCTAGCATAATGTATAGCACGTTATATCTTAATACGTTGTGTGACTTCTAATGTTCCCTTAGTATCAAAAGTAATGGATAAACAAGTAACCAAACAACCCAGCAATTCTGACAGGCATATTCACATGTTAACACAGCATAGTACTTAAACAATAGTAATAACTAATCTACAACTTTACCAAAGCCTGTATCACATCATATTCATTGTATACATTGTGGCATGTTGTGATTTAAAAAATGCATAAATGTAAAAGCAGAGATGTTAATCTGTAATTGTTGCATTTTTATCTCCATTTCTTCTAGGGGCCTCGGGGACCTCAGGGTCAGCCAGGACCACCTGTAAGTGCATAAAAAACCATGCCTGTATCTTTCCCATTGTGGTTGCACTGTGTGAACATATGAAGCCCCTAATATCTAGCTTCTCCCTTTTTCCAGGGACCACCTGGACCACCAGGATCCAGAGTAAGTTCTGTCACAACCTTAATCTACAATACAGCTCTTTTTTGAAAGCGAAAATAGCAGGACCCTTTTCAAATGCATTGCTTGTTCCATCACTGCACATGAAATGCAAATACATTTTTTTTGCAATTTCCATCACTACAGTGGTAAGTTTTTTGAACCTTCCATCTTACACTGTCCTGTTCTGTCACGCTGTTGTGCCCTCAACAGGCAATGCTCATTGATATGCTCATACTTTTGACATGGATTAACTGTCACACCAGAAGTTTTTTCTCCTGTTCTGTATTTGAACACTCTGAAAGGTAACAACAGAAAATTTTGTGCTATTTCTGGTCCAAACCTTCTCCCTGTATACACACACACACACACACACACAAATTTAGTTTGTTAAAGGATTGTGCTAGCTAGGACAGACTCAATATCTAAGTATCCTAAAGCTGTAATGAGATACATATATATAATCTGAGAACAAATTGCAAGAACTAGATGCTTGTGTCAGTGACTTAATTCTTTAAAAACATGCCAACCTATTGATTGGGTCTGGCAAATAGTCACAAAGTGTGGAGAATGAAGGTATGCAAGAAACAGGCTTCCTCCTTCAGAGGCTGGTTTGTCAGTCGTGATACATCATGAAGCCTGATCTGTCAGCTGCTGATGGCTGATTGAGATATTCTTTGTGTGTGCTGTAAAGGACTAACACCAGTTCAACTTACCTGGATTGGTTTTCTTAAGCATATAAATTAAATGGCTGGGTGGAATAAGCTGGCACATCAATCTGTAACAACTATTACAGTACCTTTTTTCTAGGTTCCAGGACTATGATCATTAAATTGGGTATGGGGATGCTTATAAAAATTAAATATGCTTTTTCTGTACACATGCTTGCATTCTTTGGAAATGGAAGGGAGGATCCTATTTTAAAAGTAAGTGTTTACAATGAATTATTTTCTAAAATGACAAAATAATGAAGCTATTCTATGTGTTCCTACACTGCTCAAAGAATTTACCACCTGCATTTTAGAGTATTCCTGTTCATCTTTTTAGATTCTGAAATATCTTTTTTTCAGAAACAAGTGGACATCAATGCTGCTGTTCAAGCTTTGATTGAGTCAAATGCTGCACTGCAGATGGAGGTAATTATTTCAGTGTATTTACGTTGCCATACAGGGAATGCATTTGAAATTTTATTTTTTGAGGACAGATCACAGCTTCTTTACAAAGACTTAATTTAAAATTAACCAAGTGTAGCAAGTAATTACTGCAGACTATAACTAAACATGCTAGGATTTATATGTTAGAATTAAAGTAAAGAAAACCAACAGTATTTCTACATTTTTGTTATGATTGGCAGTAATGGAAGTTTACTCTTACACATAGCAGATGGTGTCTGTTCAGCCACAGATAATGATAGTGGCATTTAGGCCTTGATCCAAACTGACATACATGTAAGTAAGTCTGTGGTCCCACCAGTTGCAAGAAATTCCTTACATGGATGAAGTTAGGTTAAACTTAAGAGTAGATTTCACTGCTGAAAATCTAAAAATGCTAAGTATACTTTACAAATGCACAATTTATTTTTTTTACCCTATATCCACATTTTTCTGCCAACATGTCATAATAATGTATTTGCATGATCTTAACCTGTCTCTAACTTCACTCCTCTGATAATTTTAATAACATGTACTATTTTTTTATTGGAATATGTTATTCTTACCCTGTTGTATCTGGCTGATTGCAAGCATTATAAATACTTCTGTCTGGCTATTCAATGGCCATTCGACTTCTACTGCATATACTGTTGTTGTGATACTTCCTTGTGGTAACACATTTGCTAATGGCCCTTGGCAGAAATACCAGAATACTGAAGTAACTTTGCTAGATCACAGCACAGAGATACTCAAAACGCTGCACTACCTTAGCAATTTACTGCACGGCATCAAGAACCCTCTTGGCACTCGGGATAACCCAGCACGCATCTGCAGGGATTTGCTTAACTGTGAACGTAAAGTGTCAGATGGTAAGTGCCAGCTTTCATTAGAGGTTGAACGTAAGAAGGGTTTGGAATGTATTGCTTCCAAATGTTACTTTCTACATTAAAATTGTAATGTGTAGATTTTATTATATTCTGTGGCAGTGTGCCTGTAACAGCTATCTTTATTTTATCTTTATTTAAGATAAAATTTCTGAATTTTAAAGATGAAAGTATATAGCTAGCTAATAGTGTATTGGTATTAGAGATATATGTATATAAACGTAAATAAATTGTCCAGAAAATTTGAAATGGAATCCAATTTAGTGATTAAAGATTTCCCAAGTATTGATAGCTAATCTTGCAATGAACTCTGTGTGGATCAGATTCTAGATTCCTAATGAGAAATTTGTATACAATACACTACCACAGTCAGATACACTGATAGTTGTTGCATCCCAGAAAATCCTGAATCAATATTTCAAATTAAAAAAAAAAATTAAACCTGTAATGTCAGTACTGTGACGCAATTCAGTTTTCGAGTGGCTAATAAGATAATAAATACCTGTGCATATCCCTATTATCAAGTATTAGCATTAGCAAACTAAGGAGGAAGTGGAAAATTAAGTTGGAGGTTACAGGACAATTACTGTTCTGTGACATCTGATAAGGATAGATCAGTTATTTAAGACTCTAGTAGAGATGAGCCTAACCATTGTTAGGACTGTGCTCTCCTAAATCAGTCTCAGTCCTTTAGGGCCACAGAGATCACTGACACAGTCCTCCACTTCAGAGGATTGCACACACCCCGACAGAAATTGCAGAGCATAGGGTCACCCATATTTAACCACAAATTAAGGTAAGCTAAATCTTGATCTAAATTACATGTGTCCCATTTCTTGTATTGGACCAAATCCCATGGATGCACAATGACAAATACTCCTTACTACTGTCACTGAGATATGTAGAAGTGTCTGATGGCAGAAGGAAAGGATCTTCAAAGTGCTGCGAGATTGATATTTTATGTTCCTGAATATATTCTCTGTATAAAGCCACGCCGAAAGGAAAAGAAAAGTTTTAATACAGAAAGAGCAGACTGTTAAAACCATTTGTTCTCACTGTTGAAAAAGAAAACATTTTTGAAGCTATGACAGTGTTCAAAAGTCATTGTATACGTAATCACAATTGAATGGTTATGATAATTTTGCTCAGTATCTGTTATTAGTAGAATTATATAGTGAAACAACTTTCATGGGTTGTTTTTTTTTCTTTCATTTCCTAGTGAAGCTATGGTGATAATATACCTAATACTTGCCAAAAAGTACAAATATTTTAGCAAATTGTTCAGTAACAATAATATTTTGGTTTTATTTTCCATCTGGAATATATACTAATAGGAAAATACTGGATAGACCCAAATATTGGATGTCCTTCTGATGCCATTGAAGTTTTCTGCAACTTCACTGCAGGTGGTCAGACATGTTTAACTCCGCTGTCTGTGACAAAGGTATGCATTGCTTCAGAGAGACTGCATCTGTGCTGGACTCTGAACAAATGAATGCTTATTTACTTAACACATGGAAAGACCTTAGACTTCAGGGGTTTTTCAGTGTACATCTTTGTGGAAGGACAGGTTATATATTCAGTTACAGAAATGACAGATTTTCTGGAGACAACAGATGTTAGTATATCCCTCACTTTGTTCATTTAGTCAACCTCTGTGTAATAGAATTATTTTGGCTTGCTTTATACTTTCCTATACAAAGCATAAAAATAAGCCTGAAATACTTCAAAGCTACACTAGTTACTCATCACTAAGAGCAGCTAAGTGTAATGACCTCAAAGATGCTGAGGTCATTGCAATAGGAAGGAAGAAAATTATGGCTACTTTCAATATTTAGCTACTTCTAAATACCATTAGGCAGAGACTGGTTTCCTTTGTATCATTAGTCCATGCTCCTCTTTATGTGTAGTCCTGAAACCCTTGGGAATACAAAGTTTGTATTTGTGGAGATTTGCATATACACCTTAGTCATCGAAGAGCATCAGAAATACCATACAGTTCCCATATACATTCCTACATTTGCAAATCCCTGAGTATGATCTAGTCTTGCAGAAATTCTTATTGAGTAATGACTAACTACACATTCTGTCTAAAATCAAAGTATGCTTATGAATTTTTTGCTTTTTTAATGGAAATTAAATGGTATTGCTAAAGCCTGTGGTCTAAGACAACAGCAGAATGATGTGGCTGCAGTTAAAACACTGTGATGGTATCTTTGAATCACAAAATCATTTCTTTCAGTTTCCGTATTTAAGAAGTGTTTTCTGCCCAACTGCATTTCAACAATGTTGTAAGCATTAGCAAATGTTTATGTTTGAGCTTTGAAAATGTCCTGTGAAAGCTTCTGTTTATAGTAATCACTATAATAAAACCTAACAGCTCTCCTGATAAATACAAATCGTGTTCTTTGGCACTGATCCCAATGTATAAACACGTAAACATGCTCCCATGCCTGAACACCATGCATATATGTGCATGTCAGTTAGCGTTACTGTGGCCATTCAGCGTAGTCCAGCTGTAAGTCTAACAATGCATTTCTCTTGGAACTTAGCTGGAGTTCGGCGTTGGAAAAGTGCAGATGAACTTCCTTCATTTACTGAGCTCAGAAGCAACCCATAGCATCACAGTTCATTGTCTGAACACACCGATGTGGGGATTAAGTAAAGCAGGTGGCCAGAAAATGTCTGTTAGCTTCAAAGGATGGAATGGTCAAATATTTAAAGCAAATACGCTGCTTGAACCGAAGGTGCTTATGGATGAATGCATGGTAAATGCTCTTTAGCACTTATTAAAAACGTAATGTAGCTACTGTTGAGACATTATTAACTTTCTGCAAATAAATAACAGTAATTTAGAGTCATATCCCTTGAAGCTTACTTCTTACGTTGTGCATGTGTCTCTATATGCCAGCCTTTTGGTATGGAATTCAACATCTATTCAAATGTAAAAGCAATTGAGGTAATACAGGGCATTTATACTTGCCATTTGCATTGAGTGTCACGTATTTTGAGTCTCTGCTAAGATACTGGAGAGAGATCAGAAAAGAAATAAGGAGATCCTCCAGGAAACTTTAGGAACAGTTACTCTCAAAATGAAAATTCAGACCTCAGTAAGAGTTCTGTTGAAGTTATCTAACACAAAATCTTAGGTTCAGACTTGCTGGAAATTATGTTTTGGCCATCGAAATATCTTTAAATTCACTTACAATGACACAGTTGTTTGGTTATATGATGAAATGATGATTGGAAATGGACTCCATGGCTAACAAAAATATTAAATCATATTTGTATTTAGGAAAAATTGGAAAGGCTTAGTTTTCTAATGCTTATTAGATTATTCCACCACAAAAATGTGAGCCGTTTGGTACTGGTAGAACACTATGAAATACAGCAGCCAAGCACCTTGCACTTTCAGTATTTTATAGCTCTACTTTCATTTACAATAATGACAGATGTGAGACTGGTTCCATATTGATACAGGGGTATAAAGTGAGATTTTTAATCTCAAGACAGTGGTTTTGTAGAGACGCTTTGAAGCTTTTATGCTGCCAACCTTCATTAGCATGTGCTCATGAGATGCTCTAGCCTATGTCACGCAGATAAGGCATGGCCATTGAAACCCTTTTCCCCCACCTCACAGTTTGCTTGGGACTGTTTTCATCCCTGAGAAAAACTAAGGCACACAGTGATGGCTGCTGAGAAGTGCTGTTTTTCTGTGAGATTCCATGGGGTCTGTTGCTCCTTCTGTGGGAAACTATGTACTGTACAGATCTGCTGCAGAATCTCACGTATTTCCCTCTTTGCAGGGATTTCACTTTTCAGTAGCGTCCACTGTACGTGATGGTTTTTAAGAACTGAGTGGAGTAATTGCAAACATCAAGATATGTTAACATGCTATTTTATAATTTTTATGAGGTATCAATTTTTTACCAAGAGTTTTAAAGGATTAGAATAAACAAGTTCATGGCGAAAATGAAACTCTCATTCCCCATGATTACTCTTCAAGGGCCTATACAGTCATTCAAGTGCCTGTAGGGTTCATAATCTACTGAGTTCAAGACCTACTGTTGAGATTTGGAGTTCAATTTTGCAAGAGATCTTAGAGTTTGTATGAGCCCAAGACTGCTTGCAAAGTGCCAGGCACTCTGTTCTGTGCCATGCTGCACTGTGTCTCCAGCACTTCCAGCTGGATTCTAGGCTTGGCTTTTTTACAGTTAGTTTTGCCAGGAGTGCCCATGGTGTTGCATGGGAGAAATGGCATATTTGCTAAATTGTAGTTTCTTTATGAACTGCTAGGAAAAGAAATGCTTCTGTACAGTTCACTTCCTCCTCTCATTCTACAAGCTCAATCTCTGTTTGTGTTTTGAAGCTCATCTTTGATATGAATTTAATATTCTGCTTCTGTGTGTTGCAGATGGAAGATGGCAGCTGGCATAAGACACAGTTCTTTTTTCACACTCAGGACACTAATCAGCTTCCAGTCATTCAAGTTAACGCACTTCCTCATCTCAAACCAGGACAGCAGCACTTCATAGAAGGCGGTTCAGTGTGCTTCCTTTAAGGTTTCTGTCCTGGGAGGTTTTTTTGCATCAACATGGAATTGCTGCATAGATTAAATGCAGAAGTAATGATCCATTACAGGCAAAATAACTAGGAAATTGAAGAATCGTTTTAAATGGTGTTGGTTAAAGAACCTCAGGAAGAAAAAAGACTTCCTCCTAAGGAGAAATGGCATTTTAAAAGGAAAGAAAGAAAAAAAAACTTACAACTTTCATAAAATATTTAAAAATATATTGGTGCTTCCTTGCATAATTTTCTGGAACTGAGTACCTGAACATGGAATTTTTCAGGACCTCTGGTGTTCTCAGCAATCTCTTTAAGAGCACAGCAATAAAACCACCCCGAGGAAAGCTCAAGACATACCTTACTAAGGAGCAATACTGGCTAATGCTCCTAAATGTGCAATAGCTTATATATGAAAAGTGAATTATGCCACAGTACAATACATCATCTTTTCTGAAACATTTTATTATAGTCCTTGCTGGACACACACATCTTAACAGATGGCACACTACCTCTTTTGTGTTTCCTGTCAATGTTGCCGTGGTGCTCATCATAACACAAGGTGCTTGTGGCCTTAGCAGAGATTATTTGAGTCCCTTTTTATCTTTCAGACTGTATGTGCTGGTTACATCAGGATATGTTTCTGTTGTAAAGGTGCTTAATTTGAATCGTTGGTCACGTACTTCACTACAATGAAAATATTATTTATGTGGATTTGTTTAAAATATTTTTGTGTACTGTTATGGAAATGGTATACAAGACAGCACATTGTATATGATGCATATAGTCAGAACAGTTAGCTTTACAGACATTGTAAAAAATGTTGTAGAAGAGCTACCTACAGTAGATCTGAGGTTTAGATTCTGTATTTCAGTTAACATTTCTAATGCCAAAAGCATCTTAAGATCATATATTGTGTATGTATTTTGTAACTTGTGAAAAAATCTACAACATGTCTTCTGAATGGCTGCTCCTAAATTATAATCATCATTTCATCCACCTAGAAATTCCATTTTTCACAAACTTATTAGATCTTTTTGTTGGGTTTGGTTTTTTTTTTGGGTTTGTTTTGGCTTTGGTTTTTTTGTTTTTGAAGGTTTTTTTGGTTTGGGGGTTTTTTGGGTTTTTTTTTTGTTTGTTTTTGGTTTTTTATTAAAGTAAGTCTAAAAATTCAAACATCTTTTTTTATTAAATAAAAAAAGAACGATTTTACCAATAGGGAAAGCACTTGTCGTAATGATAGGCTCTATCTATTATCAATCCAAAGTGTGCTCAGTAGCACATGGCAAGGTGGTACCAGGCTATCCTGGGAAGCACAGGAGCGTTCAAACAACTTGTTTAACTGTTTTGATCCACAGGAAACCACACTTACCAAAGTATAATAAAATAAGCTTCCAATCTATCGGTTTGTCTTTTACTGTTCTATTTCATGTTGTGTAGTTCATTCTTAGTAATGACCCAAATCCTCTAGAAGGGTACTTGTCAGGTGTCAATGCTGCTTTTACCACGGGGGGAACACACGTTTCATGCCGTGGAATACTGCCAGTGACTGCATTTACTTTTCCAAGGTAATGTACATCCCATTTTACATCTTATATGGAAGCAGCAGTTTTGTTCCTTTAGAGAAAATCTGATAAAACTAGTGACAAAGCAAGGTTACAAAGTAATGATAAAGGTTAGACAATATGTCTCTCTTTGCATTTTCCAGATCATTACAATTTAACAATATCACTTGACATTTGCTCTTAGTTTGGCTGTGGAGCCAATGTTTTGATAAATGGATTAATTTGGGGGTTTTTGTAAGAATGTCATCCTTTAGAAAATGTATATTGCTTCATGTATATTTTCATTAGTCTCATTGCACTATTTTCGGAAATTATGTATTAGCTTATATTTATGGTTTATATTAGTGCGTTTCAGAAATCATCTATTTTAAAAATGTGTTTTGGAAAGCCTCTTGTGCTCAGAGGTCCTGCAGGCTTTCGCAGGAGATCTCGTATAGTTTTGTCTCACAATGTTAACAAGTACCTGTACTCTGCAATTAATTTTATTTGCAAAAATTTCTATTAGGAAAACTTAATTCATTGACAGGGTCATCAGGCATTGGAACAGGCTGCTCAGGGAAGGTGGAATCACTGACCCTGGAAGTGTTCAAAAACAGAGTAGATGAGGCCCGTAGTGACATGGTTTAGGGGTGGTCTTGGCAGTGCTGGAGTAAAAGCTGAACTTAAGTGATCTTAAAGGTCTTTTCCAACCTCATTGATTCCATGATTCTGATGCTTTTATGGTTTCTGAGGTAGTCACCTATTTTGTTACCCTTAATTTTAGAGCGAGCCCTGAGCTAGATTACAAGAGCTTTTCCCTTTACTGCTATTTTTCGTGGTTAAAACCCCATTTAAAACCACCCGGGAAGCGGGGTTTTAAATGAGACTGCTCAAGGCTTACAGGCTCTTCTCGGAGGCCTCCGCGCTCCGAGTGCCGCCA